CAATTACAATGATTTTTAATGCCATCTTCCCCTAATTCTATAGTGAATATTTTAGAAATCTACCAGGAATAATTTTTAACTTAATTTTTGGATTATGAGTTACTGGTCTAAATATATAGTATTTAAACTCTGTGCTCAGTGGTATGGACTGTTATTATAAATGTCCCAGGAGACCTTTCCACTACTACTCCAAAGTTTGGGCAAGGACCACAGGCTTGTTCTCTCTTTGCTTGTGAGGTTAGTTTTTTCTAATTTATTCTTTCATGAGTCCAGGCATCTGCTTGTGTGTATGCATGTGAGGGAAGCACTGATTCCTACTCCTTGCTCCATGCAACCCTTCCAAATGTAATAATTTGGCTTCCTCAGATACCAGGACTTACAGATCTCCACTATACGCATTCATGTTGGTCACAACAGCAGCCCAGCTCCTTAGGCCAAACCAACCCCTCTTGTTTTAGTTTCTGGTCCATTTTTGGTGTGTGGCTACACTTTCCTGTGATCTGAGTGTTCAAAATGATGTTGTTTATTCTAATTTATCCTAAATTTCTAGATGATAATTTATATTACTCATACTAACTGAAACGGGACATGCCTAATAATGTTTTTTATCTTAAAGTCATTGTAACATATTGATATGGTTATGCCATCTTCCTCTAGCTTAATACATGTGTGATGTATCAATTTTTTATTCATTAATTTTCAATCCTCCTGGGCATGGTGGTGCATGCCTGTAATCCCAGCACTGGGGAGACAGGCAGGATGATTGTCATGAGTTTGAGCCCAGCCTGGGCTACATAGTGAGTTCAAGGCCAGCCTGAACTACATAGCAAGACCCTGTCTCAAAAAAGAAAAAAAAAAGAAAAATAACACCAAACAAAATAAAACCTTTCAATCCTTGTGTATTGCTAAGTGTTGGTCACACTTCATAAACATGTGACATATTATTTTCTATATGAACTTTAGAATCATTTTCTAAGTTCCAAAACAAATCCTATTTGGGATTTAGTTGACATTGGACTTATATAACTTACATTGTTATATAATAAATCAAAAACAATATCCTTTCCCTTGAAAAATTACTTATGCCTTTCCATTTATACAAGCTTTTATTCATTTAGTTCTTGAATATTTAAATTTTTTTTCATATATGTCTTAAACATTGGTTTTTAAACTTACTCCTATACTGATTATGTTGTGAATAGGACCTTGCCTTCCCTAGTATACTTCTCAAGATAATAAATTGCTCTGTTACTGTAATTCGTAATACTGATAAATTTAAAAATTTTCATGATATTGAATCATCCTTGAACTGGAATGAATTCCAACCAGATTCTTATTGTTTTGCTACAATTTTCAAAGGAAGAAGCATGCAGAACTGTCCTTATTCTGTTTTAATAATACTAGAAACACCAAAAAAGAGCTTTTTAAAAAATTTTTTTTGAAAAAATGTATAACTTTATTATCATTCACTAAACACACATATACAAAAATTAAGATTATTCAAAGGAGAGCAATGCAAGGGAAAAAACTATAATAATATTCAATTATAATAGAACTCAACCAAAGCAAAACTGAAAAGTACTTAAACATTTTTCTATATAATTTAAAAAAAATCTCAAGCATTAACAAGGCATCAAAGGATGTGATTTGTTTTAGAAAGATTTTTCAAAACTAATATTGACTAAATAGTGGTCTGGAAAAAAAATTCTAAAGTACACTCCACATAGGCCAAATTTTTTTAAATTTAAATTGCAATACAGTCATGTGACACGTGATGGAAATACAATCTGTGAAATATATTATTAGGCAATTTCAAAAAGAGGTTGTTTTTTTTTTTTGCTACCAGGGATTGAACTCGGGTCCTTGCACTTGCATAGCAGACGGCAAGACCACTGAGCTAAATCCCCAGCCCCTCAAAAAGAGCTTTTAATGTGAGAAGATTGTCAGTTTTCTATGGAGGTCAGGGATGAAGAGTTTTCAGGGAGTCTTGGGATTGTGAGGACGGAGGGTACAGGAGAAAAAGGCGTAGAGCTGAGCAGCGGAAAATGTAACAATCGGGGCTACAGGCTGAACAGAGATGCGCTTCCACAGCACTCAGGTGTGAAAGCCAGCTTAGATTTTTAACTACAAGATTGTATGCTTTCCAATCATTCCTCATTTCTAGGCCTATTTGTTAGGATGTGGGATTGGGAATTAATTTGAAGACCTCAAATGAATGTGGTTTGAATATGATGAAAGTTTTTTTCTCTCTCATATATTATCTGCAGCCGAGAAGTATAGGGCTGATACAGCAGCTCTGTGACTCCCTCTGGGTGCTGCATCATCTCCAGGGCCACACCCACTTCTGCATGGTTCAAGACATTCACCCTTGACAGCATTTCGCCCAGCCGATGGAGGCACGTGGCCAGGAGGGCATGACTGTTGTCTGTAAGAACACAGCATCACCTTTTCTGACAGCATATTTGATAGATTATTCAGAAGGCCAAACTTTTCTTTAAAGGATGCTGGAGAATATGTTACTATTTTCCTGGATGGTCATGTGCCTTGCTAGAAATTCTTTAGTGATATAAGAAGAAAAGAATAGAGGTGGACAGACAGCAAATGATCTGCGTCTCTCCAGGCCTACCACAGAGATTTGTAACTTGATTTATATCTGTCCTAGCACTCTTAGGAGTAGGAGCCTTGTATTATTTAGAGGCCTTATTTTGTATCTATAAAATTATGCAACTGGTTTATGATCTAACTGTTTGGAGCCAATATTTATGTGATGCTGTGATTTCCTAATTCCTTCTTATTTCTTTAGACAAGCCCTCTCTCCTACCTAATGTTCTGCTTTCTGAGCTGAGCCTGGGAAGAAGTGAAAACCAGCACTTATTGCTAAGAGCAAAGTAATCCCCAGGTATCATTCTGCCCAACTGTGAGGACCGTTCCTTATCTGAATAAGAAACCATATAAGTGCCTGGTTTAGAAACAGCAAAGATCGACATCAGAGCAAGGCAGAGAAGGGTTCCTGGCAATGTTCAGTGTCATGTTCTCAGATATAAGACATATCCTACCCTCAGTGGGACAGAAATAAAAGATGATTCTACCAGGGAGTTCGGGCTGGAGCCTTTGGATCATATCAATAACAAATGTTTATTGTACCCTTGCTTTGTGCCAGTTTTTTCTCTAGCTGATAATGGTGTTGAACATGAAAAATATAGTTCCTGCTCCATGAAGCTACCAGAGAAGACAGATATTTAAATAAACTATTACTACTAAATCAATAAAATGCCAAGTACTGAGTAATACAAAGTATTGTAATGGCAGAAAATGGGGGTCTGCTTTATTCTGAGTGATCAGAGAAGGCTTGGTTTCCATGGGAAATGGGACATGAACTGACATTTCCAGTAATAGTCAAGATGCAGGGTAAGAACAAATGCTGTGGTTAGAGAGCTGCATGTTTGGCAAGTAGAGCAGAAGTTGAGAGCAGAGAGAATGGAAGGGATGGAAGGCTGGAGAGGTGACTAGGGGCCAGCCACCTCCTTCCATTACTGCAGCTCTAGAGGAGCCAGCTGTAAGGAAGAAAGGCCTGCAACATAAGGGGTTGGGAGGGATATTTTAAGGGTTGTCTAATCAAGTGGCTTTTAGTGCTGTCTCTTCTCCAGCACTTATTTTGGAATTTAGTAGGGTTATTTTTGTTACATTTGGTGATATTGGTGTGGTTGCTACTAACATTGTGAAGGGGAGCCAGGATGCCACAAACCCTGCAATGCACAAGACAGTCTTGCCTGTTGAAAAAGTTTTCAGACTTTCAGATGTCTTGGTGGATGGTCATGTAGGTGAAAATCTTATTTATAGCTTACCTGAATCTAGAACCTAATTCTTTGCTGGATACACACAATGTATTTTTGCAGTTTTAACATATGCTGACATTACTGGAATCAGTAATGTAACTAACCTCTAATCAAGAGAACATTGTCTTGTATTTCACTGAGACCTTTATCAAAAAGTATTCACTATTTTGGATCATGTTTTTAAGATTTTTGAAGCACCGAAAGACAGCTTTGTGGCTGTAGCATTGAGACAAATTCTATGTATGATGGCAAAGATCTGACCCATGTCATTAGGTCTCCTTATTGTAGTCATGACGAAGAATTTGCATATCAAGTGGTATTATTTTATTACAAATTATATTCCTTTATTTCTTTTTTATTACATTTGGGCATAACTAGTTTAAAAATGTAAGTCACTATTAATGATTTTCTAGGCCATTATTTATGAGTTTCATGGCAGGAATAAAGTGGACATTATGAAATATTTACTTAAGAAGGGGGTACTAGGTCTGACAGTGTGAGATGCACTGGTCCAGTTCACCTGGTTGCACCTACAGTTTTACCAAGACACAAGTTCCCAGCACCACTTCCTATATTGCCCCCCCCCAAGGTATTCATTTCCTAATTCCTTATTTCTTTAGATAAGCCCTCGGCTTCTACCTAAAGGTTAGCTTTCTGAGGCTGGGAAGAAGTGAAAATCAGCAATTATTGTCAAGAGGAATTGTGGGGATTTAAGTATTGAAGGTTGGGTTGTTTGTGGGGGTTTTTTTTGTATTCGGTATTAGGGCTTTTGCATTGAGCTACACCTCCAGACCTTTTTAAAACTGTTTGCTTTGAGACTGGGTCTTGCTAAGTCTCTAATTTGCCCAAATTGGGCTCGAATTTGCGATCTTTCTGCCTCAGCCTTCCAGAGTGCCAGAAATACAAGGTGGAGCCCCCACGCCCGGCTTGGACCCTGCCTCTTGCCCTTCCTGGACCCTCAAGGTGTAACCGTCCCCAGAAGTAACCGCCCCGAGGGAGATAGGCAAAGGGGAGAAGAGCACAAAGTGGGTCGCTAGTACTCCAGCCTCAGGAGGCGGGGCAAGAGCACCACCGAGAAGGAGAGATGCTGCTCCTAGAGAGTCCAGGCGCGCCTGGTGACGCACTTCCGGCCGCGCCGTGGAGCGGCCTGCTGCAGAGGTGAGTTGGTGCAGTGGTGCCTAGCCTCTGGGCCGGTTCAGGATGCTCTTCCACGCTGGGTAGAGCTGCTTCTCTCACAGCCAGCGCTGTCCCTGAGGCTGAGCCTACGAGAGGGAGCAGGGCGGCGCTCCGGGGTCCTCTTCTTCCCTCCTCCACTCCTGCTTTGGACCTGGTGATCAAATATGAACCATGGAAGTCGAAGTCTAGCCGACACGCCCCGAGCATCTGGCCCTTGATCTATTCGGGAAAGATGTGTCGGTACAGCCGGAGGGCGGAATGTTTGCGGGGGCGTAGTGGTCCGAGGTGATATCAAGTCTTTCGACCTGTTGCAGTCATGGGGGCTTACACGCATTCCAAGTTTGGACTGAGTGCGAACCCCTTACCTCCACTCCGCTGCTGACATAGGGTCATGAATCAGGGACGAGAGGGAGCACAGAAAAAGCAGAGCCTCCCCAAGCCATTTAGGAGCAGAATAAGCCTTTTGGAGGGCACACTCTGCTGGAGCAATGGCAGGACCCAAAGGCAACTTGACCCTACTTCTCACCGACTATGTGGTAACAGTGACCTGGGAATGACTTTGTGAAATGAAGCTTCTCTAGGAAGGCTGCGTTTGAGCTTGCAGATTGTTTGAATTTGTTTAAATTTTACTGATTAGAGTGTTGTGACCTTGTGGAGAGACTTTGTTGTAAACTAAGAAGCCTAAGTTTTATTGGGTAATTTTTGGTCCTTTGCTAACCACTTGTTACTGGTCTCTGTCTGGTTTAGGATTTTTTTTTTTTGTATGATGATTGGATACGATCTTAAAAGGTATGTTAGGCTTGATGGACATCTGGCCTGTATTAAATCATAAGGCTGGGAATGAGGCCGAACGGAGTCTTGTAGATTTCCTTGCCTTTTTGTAGTTTCCATACTTGATAACTCTGCCTTTTTTTTTTTTTTTTGGTACCAGGGATCGAACTTGGGACCTTGGGGTTACAAGGCAGGCGCCGGAACCACTGAACTAAATCCCCACCAGCCCCTCTGCCTGCTTTCTTTTGGGACCATAAAAGGCTTGTGTAATCTCTTCACAGTAGGACCATGGCTTTCAGTGAATTCTCCTAGGACCATGTCCTTTGGGATTACATGTTGTTAAGCTGAGTTTATGTTCCTGGGGTGTGGTCATTGTGTTGGCCCAGAATAAATCATTTTCTTAGATTTTGTTTTTGTTTTTCTTTTCTGAGACAAGGTCTCACTGAGTAGCCCAGTCTGGCCTTGAACCTCCTCCTGCCTCAGCTTCCTGAGTGCTGGAATTACAGCTGTGTGCTGCCATGCCCAGCTTAGAATTGTTAATTGTTTTTGTGTCAGCACCTTCCACAATATAGTTATGAATTTGCTCGGTTATAGAATAACAAAATAATTACAATATTGCTAAAACAAATTTCCTACCTATAGCACAGTATTTGGATACAAGACATTTTATCTTTAGCCTTACAGTAATTAGTTAAAATACTGTTTTCCAGAATTACTTGGTTCTTGACATTCTCAGTACTTCATTATGGTTTTGTTATTCAATTGTAGTAAGGCTTATTGGTTGTTTCTATTACATTTATTACATTTTAGGTCCTCCCCTCCACCCCATCCTAGTTGGGGTGTGAGTGTGTGTGTGTGTGTATTTAAGACTGTATAAAGCCAACACAACTGTAATCTCTGTTACTTGGGTATTTTAGGAGGGTGGGCAAAGTAGGAGCACAAATTCAAAGGCACCCTAAACACCTTAGCCAGACCTATCTCCAAAACAAAACCCAGGGCTGGGGTGTGGGGGGGTGTTGCTTATTGCCACAGCTCTTGTCTATCATATGGTAGGCCCTAGCTTCACCCCCTAGTACAGTGGTACCTTAGTACTTCTTGTTAGTTGATCGTGGGAGGCACAAGTACCAAATTTTGGCTGGAGAGGGTAGCAAGTCACAAGGCAGTTGACATAAGTTCTAGATTTTGCACCAAGTACCAAACAGATGAAGAGCACTGGGACAAAATGTGTCAAGTCCCAAATTTGAGGAGATTCAAAGCATTCAAATACTGAGGTGTGACTGTACTGCCAAAAATGAGAGAGAGAGAGAGAGACTGAGAGAGACTGAGTCAGAATGAGTATCTGTGGACACACCACTAAATTAAGAAAGAACATTTCCTATACTGCTTCATCTATGTGTTCCTCATCCAACTCCTAGCCTCCCACCCCTAGAGGTAATAAATATTTGGAATTTATTGTTAATCATAGCCTCTTTAAAAATGTATAACATATGCTTGTCACTGTAAAAAATTTGTTATTTATTTGTAGTACTGAGGCTTGAACCTAAGGCCTTGCCACTGAGTTACATCCCCAACCCTTTATTTATTTATTTTAAAATTTTGAGACAAGGTCTTGCTAAGTTGCCCAGGCTGGGCTCAAACAGTTTTTAGTTTGCTTTTGAACTTTGTAAAAGTGGCATCACAGTGTGTATCATCATCTGGTACTTGCATAATATAATATGTTCCTAAATTTACTCACCTGTAGCTGATGAGTTATAGTCCATTGTAAAAGCAATACAGTTGGTGTATTCTTATTGGATATGTGGGTTTTCAGTAGGGTATAAGTTTTAAAATTAGGGCGGGAGATTTAGCTCAGTGGTTCCACCACCTGCCTTGCAAGCGTAAGGACATGAGTTCGATCCCCGGTACCCAAAACAAACAAAAAAAATTAGGTATTAATATTGATTTTTTTTCAAACACCTTTGGCATCTATTGAGATGGATAGTATGTTTATCTTTCTTTGGCTTTTTCCCCCCTTTGGCTTATTAATGTACAAAACAATTGGTAGAGTTGATTCATTAGATTCAAATGAGGTCATATATTCTTCTATCACAGAATAAGTTTTCTTTTTAAACATTATAGAATATGTTTTAAAATGACACTAGCCAAAAAAAAGCCTCAAAAATC